CAGAAGTAGACAGCAATTTAACATCATCCTTCTTGACCAAGAAGACGCAAAAGATTATAGAAGCAGGCGAGGAAGCAGATTAAAACACATCGACTGTTACAGCTTAAATGTTGATCAGAGTGTTTTCGGGGCAGTTGGAAGATGTTGAGCTGGGGGGTTCGCGCTTCAGCCGTCACGCAACGAACTGCACCATGAGAGAAGAAGGGTGCGTGTGCCATGCGTGAGGCAGCGCGTCCAGCCGTTAAATGATGCTTTCCCGGTTCCTGTCCAGCTCGTCTTGTTCCAGGGAGCTCGTCGATCTGGACCCGCAAATTTGCATCTCAATTTCCGCCAATCTGAAACGGTTTGCTTGTGCCCTAAAAGCTCGCAAATATATAATGGGTGATTCAAAAATGGCTTTTTACAGCAATTTTCACTTGAATAAAGAATAGCGATAGTTGTCAGCTCAAGATCTGCAGCTGCTGGCTGCATAACTGATTTTCCTACGCTGTTTAAAAGCTGGAAATGGGCAATTTTGAATCACACTTGATTTGGGTCAAACCTGTTCTCCAATTCCCACTGTTGCTGACTCAGCTTCACACTCATGGCTGCGTTTTCCGATTCCACGGTCTGCAGTCGCTCCCGCAGGCGCTTGATTTCCTGCTCCAGAATCTCGTGCGACGCTATCAATGGCGTGGTGCGTCCAGACACCAGCTGCGTCATGCTCTCGCTCCCATTGATGGTAGTCCCTGGAACATTAGCAAAACTCCTTTTGGAGATTAGGCTCTTCCAAAGTAGGTATAGTCGAGGTAATCAGAGCCCGAAATTTGCGTTCACCTTTCAGCTTAAACCACTCGGCCAAATCTCTTGACCTTTTCGGGGCTTAAGTTCATCCGTCGCGGCTAAGAAGCTTAAGGAAAATTGGCACAGCAAAGCAATCATAATAGTGATGAGACGTGTCGTGTTGGATTATTGAAATAGATTTGCTAATTTGCGCTCGGTTTCGGTGAGTTGGGGGATTGAGGGCCTGGTAGTTTACTGCTTAGCGCAGACTGCAGAGCAATTGATTGGATTTGTTTTGCCCCAGGAGCTGAGGTTTCAACAATATGAAGTCGAAGAATTTTTAACTATTGAAGCCACTGCGATCTGCAGCTTGCAGAAAGGTTTTTGTGAAAAAAGGCAACTCTTAGCAACAAAATCCGAATTTCTGCACGCGCAGTTTGCACATTTCTACTCCAATTTGCGACTCCAATCATAGACATTCGCAAATCTTGCAATTGCAGGCTGTTTTTACATATCTTGCAGATAGACAGGAGCTGGTCCCTGCCTCGTTTTATGCTATTTTTTAGATCAGGAGCATTTGAGACTCTTTGCTTAAGTTTGCGATAACAAATTGTTCTATAATTTTGAACTTTTCAGGTCTTGTTTCCTACAGCTCAGATTCTGCAACATTCTGATCCAATTTTACCGATTACGAGCAGAAGTTTTAAGTAAAAGAAAATGTTCAAATCGAGCAAAATCCTAAAGATTTGACTACCCGCAATTTCAACCCAAAGACGTCTTGGAAAATATAGTTTGCCGAATTTTGTAGGCACAATTTGGTTTGGCATTTGTTTCCCAACAAAAAAAAACATCAACAATTTGTACACACACACACACAAAGATCCTGATGCCTTTTCATGTAGAACCTTTAAGAAAGTGCTTGAACGCTTACAGTAGCGCTCCAAAGGAAAAAATGCGCAGCGAGTTTAATTAAAATCCACCGTACGTATACACACCGATATTTCAAAAAACTTAAAAACTTGAATAATCTGGGGCAGTTTGTCATTGTCCTCTCCAAACTGTTGCGCGTAAATGCAATGTGACAGACAAGAACAGGCATAGTTTGTGCTGTAAGTAACGCAGAGGGAGCGCAAAACATTCCGCGCTCTGTTTATTGCACCGTTCAAGTGCACTGACAAGGACAGCTATAGGGGAGTGCCTTGCGATTGAGACGGCCGTCGCCGAACTGCCCCAACAGTGTTGCGAGTTACAGTTTGTCTTGCCCAAAAGCGACTTTCGTCGAATCGTCTTTTCGAAAATCAAAAGAGATAGACTTTCAAGGCCATTTCTTGAAACTAATGGGTTTTTCGGGTTTTTAGGCCGTCGTTTGGTAGAATTTCTTCCTGACGTTTCGCAAGCACGAGTGGCTTGCATCTTCAGAAGTGGTTTGGGTTAGTTCTCATCAGAACTTCTCTCAGAACTTTCTTCTTCTCATCAGAGCCCGCTCAGTTCTTCCGAACGGGCTCTGATGAGAAGAAGAAAGGTCTGAGAGAAGTTCTGATGAGAACTAACCCAAACCACTTCTGAAGATGCAAGGCACTCGTGCTTGCGAAACGTCAGGAAAAAATTCTACCGAACGACGGCCTAAAAACCCATCAGTTTCAAGGATTTGCCTCGAAAGTACATTTCTTTTGATACAGTTACATGTTGCTCTCGAAGCGGTTAGATTGATTTGCCAAAAACCGGTTTTCCGATGCAGAACTGATAAATCAGGTCTGGTAAAAGGCAAAAAAGCGGCCAGAATGCCGGTGTGGAATCACATTTGCAAATATTTGTCCCTTTCAGGATTAACGGCAGCTAAATCCGGCACGGAGAACGTTCATCCAGGATGCGATCGCATATCAAATAGAGTGCTTCTAGTTAGATAAGGCTTTGTTTAACGTTTTCCGCTGAAAAAACTGTACACTATGTATGTGTTTCCTGCTGAATGTGTCTTTGCTGAGCACTTAAGTGCCCTTCAAGCTGCTGTATAAATTTGCATAGAGCGGAATGCTCTTTGGACAGTCTTCAGTGGATAAATACAAATAGTTTTTCAGCTGCTTGACTGGATGGGGAAAAGTGCGCTTTCACTCAGTGCGTGGGTGTTTCAGGATTTATGCAAAATGATTGGGAAACCGATCGGGAAAACCTAATTGATACGAGAAAAAGGAACAGTTGGGTTAATAAAATGCTGTATTAATTGGGCAAAAAAGTTAGAGCTCAGAGGCGCGAACAATCGGAAAAAAGCTTTTAAACCGAAGAACGTTGAGTGGGTCAAGAAAGGAAAAATAGCCTATTGAAGAGCGTCGGAAGGGCCAAACACTTTGTCCGTTGAACGGACGCAAACGGCTGAAAATCCCTGATTGGTTCTAGGAAAAAGTCTAAAATTCCTGTTAGTAGTCGGGCCCGTTTCGAACCCCTCCAATTTGCTGATAATCCACCTTGACAAGACCAAGATTGATTGGCTTGAGTTCTTCAAGGATGGCTGGCTGTCTTGCGAACCGATACCATGATTGGATAAATCAACTCCGGAACAAAATGAAAAATTATCCTGTCATGCCTTTTCACATGTGGCGCCTTGCTCCCGTTCACAAATTGGCTTCGCCTGCGAAACAACAACCTCCCCCTGCAGTAAAACGCTTTTTGTTCCTTTCTACATAAAATAAACATGCCCTATTACCCGTCAGCAATATTTCATCGTTAGGAACCTGCGAGAATCAACCTGTTTCGCACATAAAGAATCCTTTAGCTGAGGGATTTTTACCTGATCTCACGTGCGGCTGCCTGCTGTGTCTGCTCTGTCTGCTTCGGTCGCTGCTGGTGGAACCGGCAGGACTGTCCGGAGTTGGCAAGGTGCGGACACTTTGAGGAGGAGACGAAGCTGCCAGCGATCGTGGAAAGAGCGACGTCAAGCCTGCGAAGGATATGGGAGGAACCCACATGTCTTCCAGCGCCACTTTTCCCCGTGATTCCACCAGGCCGGGAGTCGATTGGCTGCGCCCCATTGCAGCTGAAAATTTCCCAAATTGCTTGAGGTTCTCCAGTGCCCAAAACACCACAAAAGATTCGACTTGTCGCACAAATTGCATTCATAATAAATAAAAAATCTCTCGTCAGTTCCTGAGTGTTTTGCTAGCTTTTCAGCTCAACGTTCCAAAGGAGAGTGGGACAGTGGGGGAAGTTTCCCTCCAATTAGAATCCAGGAAGATTTAATTCACACTGGCAACAAAAGCGATGGGTCGAAGCCCGTGAAAACAAGCAAAATTCCGCATCTACATCGCTCTGAAAGAATCCCTATTGTGTTCAAATCAGTTCTTTATTTCGCAATGTGTTCGAAGTTTACTTTTATGCGATTTTTCCTGCACAGCCCCTCAAATCCGCACAAAGCAATTTCAGCGAGCACACACATACAAGCAAACAGGACTGCAGCTTTCTAAAATTAGACTAGCTCGGGTCGCTGCGGACCCATTATATATTTAAAGGGCGCAAAACTGAAGCCTGCTGCTCCTGCAAATACGCATTTGGGCCCTGCGGGAGCCGGCAAGCACCTGCTTTTTCCGTTTTGGCCTACGAATTGTGTGTGCATTTTTTAAGGGCGAGATTTCCCCTTTTGTCAGACAGAGCGCAAAGGCAAATATTGAAGAGAAAACTGGATTAAATGCTGTCGCTGTTGTGTTTTCCGTCGAAGTCGAACAGGGGCTGTTGATGGACTAAGACTATTAGACTAATTAGACACCAAGTCCCGATTGGGAACATTCCTTCTAGGCGTGCAGCAGTCAAGTTTGTTGCAATACACCGTTCAAAGGGAAAGGCCCTTTGAAGTGCCGCCTCTGAAGCTCGAAGCTCGTTTTTCCAATTTGCCCAACAAAAGCACCTGCGAACCGCAGCTAAGGAGGACAAGTTGAGGTAATTAATATTGGAATTAGTTTTAAGAGTTTGTCAAGGGCTGCTTTGCTGGGATAATGGGAATAAAATGCCCCGAATGCACTGCTTTATGCACAGTGAGAGAGTTTGCTCTACCGGATTTGTTTTTAGCTTCTTTTGTGCTCCTGCTGGATTCAAATTTTTGCTTCTTGCAACGGCCAGAAAAGCCGAAATATTCGGCACTTTTATTGATAACCATCCTTCGGAAAGCACTGCAAACTATACAATGCGCTTGCTTTTTTCGCATTGATGCAAATTTGAACTTTTCCAATCAAATTGGAAGTTCAATCGCTCTCAACTGCTGTCAACCATCAATGGGAAAATACTGCGCAAAGTTTCTCTGTAATTTTCAAAGTTTCCCAGCGCACGTCGCAGTGGAACGGGAAAATCGCGAGATCAGACAAGTGAGACTTTTGTCAATGCACCGAACGGCTTTAACTTAAAATTGGATAAAGAGCCAAAAAGGGGCATCAAATCGCGTATTTTGCCCTGCAAAATTCAATATGTACGTCAAGCTCGGTTTGAGCTCGCCTCATGAGCTCACGTCGCCCTTATGCTTTGCAGGGAACGCACTACATTCTGCTGGCTGCACTCGAGCGCTGCATAATTGCAGGTGCAGTTAATTGCAGGCAAATCTTGACAAAACTCTCAGCTTCCAGGGGTCATAACACTCAAACTTCTTGAATTCAAGTATTATTTGAGAAAACTGGCAACATTTTCCCATCCATGGTTCACTTTCGAAAAAGGCCATTTATTTCTGTCTAGAATGATGTACAAATGAGCGTTCTTGCTCATTTTGCTTCCGAGAAATGAGCAAAAATGGGACGGAAAACATGGAATTT